AAGTCTTGAGCGGACCTTTTGGATCCGTTCTGAGTGTCGAGGGACTTGATCACTGGGGAGGATATGGGACTCAACACTGGTGGCGGGGTCAGCAGAAGGAATTGTTACGGGCTGGAGAAAACGGTGGTTCCTCCACCACACCCGACCACTGGGTAACAGCACCTGGTAGTCCCGTGACCTACCGAGACCCATGACCATGCGTACTTTGTCCCAAGGTAGGGAGGTCGGGTTCTGAACACGGACTTGGGTGCCGACACTCAACTTGGGAGGAGCACGGGCATGGTCGTTGTAGCGGGCGACGACATCATGAACACATTCGGCAGCTCGGTGATCACAATCCTCTGTCTTAGCCTGCCACTCCTTAGAGAAGGACTGAGGGTGAGCAGGGACACAAGAACAGAGGGGGCGTCCATACAAGACCTGGGCAGGGGAGCGTCCGGTGTAATTGGGTGTGTTGCGGAGTTCAAGGAGACCCCGGTCGAAGGCCTCGCAGTCAATATTCCCAGAAGGGGCCACTTTGAGGACTAGGTGCTTCAGGGATTTGACAGCAGCCTCAGCGTGGCTGTTGGACTGCGGGTAATGGGGCGATGACAACACATGCCGGACTCCCCATCGGTCAAGGAACACAGCAAAGTCCCGGCTTGTGAACTGGGGCCCTCTGTCGGTTCGTAGGCTCACAGAAACGCCCACGTCACGGAAGTAGTGGCGGAACTTGCTGATGGTGGCGGCAGACGTTGTATCATTGCCGCACTTAATGACAACCGGCCAACCAGAGAGACGGTCGATGATAACAAGGAAGGACTTTCCTAACACACAGAAAAAGTCAGCCAACACAGACTCAAAGGGGCGGGTGGGGTTGTCGTCACTCATGAAGGGTTCCTGCTGCTGGCTGGGTTGTAGGACTTGGCAGGGCTCACACGCATGGACAACATTGGAGATGTCGGAGTCGATGCCAGGCCAGAACACAGTCTGTCTTGCACGCCGTTTGGTGGCCTCGGCTCGGCGGTGACTGTCATGGAGGCGAGCCAAGATGTGGGGACGTGAGGCAGCATGGACAACTACCGAAGGAGAGGTGTCACAGGCAAGAGATAGGGGTAGGGCGACAGCAGAGTGGTTGCTGCTCCCTTCGTGCACTCTGTTGGAGTGTTTTACCTCGAGAATAGGTTTTGGGAAGTCCTGGGAGATGATGGCCAACTCTTGGCAATGTCTGTAGGACAGCAAAGGAGTCGGGACACCATTATGCACATCAATTCAGGCTAGACACGACCTGTTGCCAAAGGTGACCTGTGCTTGGAGTGAACCTTGGGCTGGGGCCATCTGCGAACTATCTGCCATGAAGCGGAGATCCTTGGGAGGCCGTCCTAGATCACTCGGAGAGAGCCCCAAACATTGCAAATGCTGGGGACCGATGATTGTAGCATCAGCGCCGGTGTCGGGCAGCATCTCGAGGCGGGATGACACACTGCCGTAGGTCACGATGACGCTAATGTGCTGAGGAACTTTGGTCCTGGGACGCGAGGGGAGTACACCTTCCTAATATGGCTTGAGCGTTGTCCAGGGTCGTCATGCCTCTGATTTGACGACTGTGGGCGGCCCTCACTGGTGGAAGGGAACTGCTGCTTCCACAAAAACGCTGTCCCTTGGGTTTGTTGGAAGGGCAACACTTGTCATAGTGGCCCAGACGACCGCACACATTGCACTGGACGCGTTTGGCTGGGCACTGTACTGTAAGTGACCAGTGGCCCTTACTCTCACAACTGTTGCACGTAGACTCAGCAGCTGGACACACCTGTGTTCCGTGCTGTTTACCACAGTTGTTACAAAAGGAGCCGGGCATGGGCATCGGCGTTGGGGTAGACTTCTTGTCCTTCTTGTACTGAGACATAAAACGTAAAGCTGTAGGGGGAGCTCGGAAGGCAGAGGTGGCACACCTGGCAGCCTCATAGGAGCGACATATTGTCAACACATCCTTAAGGGAAGAGGAAAAGTCAAGGGAGGTGAGGCGTTGGACAAGCTCCTCGTCCTTAACACCCATCAGGATCACCTGCTTCAACTGGGTCTCCTCACACTGCTGGTGATTACCGGGACATATGTCTACCTCTTCCGAGGCTCTCTTGAGTCGTACATAGAAAGCGTTAAAAGTCTCGCCCTCCATCTGTCTACAGCTAAACAATTCCCTCCTGTGTAGAGCTTCATTCCGCTGACCTTTGATGTGCCGTTGTAGAACCTCCAGTGCCTCCTCTACAGACAACGAAGAAGTCGGGGGCACCTGCAACGTATGTTCCAAGACACGCTGCGTTTCCAAAGACAGGCACATACGTAGCTGAATGAGTTGTTTAGGCTGTGGCAAGCTCTGGAGATCCACCATTGTAGCATCATCAGTCCACCGTCGCCGCCATTCGCGAAAAGTCTGGAAAGTCACATCAGGATTCAAGATGGGTGGGGGTTGGGCAGCAGCTTTGGGTAGGGCTGGAGGGCGTAAAACAGGCGTTGACGAGGTACCTGAATCAGTCGGTACCGAAGCGGTGGGAGAGCTGGGGGCTTGGTTAGCAGTGAGGCGAGATATCAAATCTTCAAACCGTTCACTATCTTCCAATCTCCTTTTTTCGTCATCCACAAGTCTTCTAGCTTTGTCCTCACGCCTTTCCTCCCTCATAAACTTCATTAAAGCAATTACCTCTAGAGACAAGGCTGAAGATCAAGGTGAAGGACTTCGAGATGTGGTGGGAGAGGCTGGAGCGTCTCTCTCCGACTGGTCATCCATCTCTGTAGAGCTATCATCCGTCTGAGTCATCCCGGTGTTAGGAACACCACTGCGTAAGGCACGAGACATAACTACTTAATCTGTGTACTGTACTGTGTCTCAAATCAGTGTTGACCGGTCAGCCCGTCATATCAACAAGATCCGAGACAAAAAAAATTAATTAAATATACAGTCAACCCTCACTTTACGCGGTCCCACATTCCGCGTTTCCACGTTTACACAGTGCCCTGCCAGAACCCAGGATGCTCACGGGTGAAGTATATTTTTTTATTTAGCTCATAAAATTCATACAAATTATCCGGCCAGAATATAATTTACATTGCTGGAATTCTTACAATTTGATGATCATTTTGAATATAAACATCATAGATTTTGCATTAGACATACAAATTTTAGATATAATGCTTACTCTGAGTAAATATGTTATCTTTTGTGCAAAATATATGACATTTATATTCAAAATATTCCTGGTCTTACAAAGAATCCAGCAATGTCAATTATATTATCCTAACTTTAGTCTGATTTATTATTTATTACTAAAAAGGTAAACAGTCTGGTATTCCCACACATTCATCTGGTAGGGAGGGTTGGTGGGGGGTGGGAGGGACCGGCGACCGACCACCTGGCACTTGGTCACGGTGTGAAGAATACTTTTTTTTTATTAACTGAAGATATTTGTTTTAGCTCATAAAATTCATACAAATTACCTGGCCAGAATATAATTTACATTGCTGGAATTCTTACAATTTGATGATCATTTTGAATATAAACATCATATATTTTGCATTAGACATACAAATTTTAGATATAATATTTACTCTGAGTAAATATGTTATCTTTTGTGCAAAATATATGACATTTATATTCAAAATATTCCTGGTCTTACAAGGAATCCAGCAATGTCAATTATATTATCCTAACTTTAGTTTGAGGTATTATTTATTACTATACCTGGTTTTCCCCCAAAAATTTCTCAGAGAGGGAAGAGCCAGCGAGTGTAGTGTGAGAAGAGGAGGAGGGAGTTGAGTCCATTATTTAAATGGACATTAACTTGGCGACTGTATTTCTCTATTTCTCTTAAGTATTAATTGTGTGCATGTACCATCATAAAATTAAGATGTTATTTTTACTAGAACATAGGTATTGTGCTGGAAAAAGTGGAGTTTGGGGGTCAGCTGGTCTCTATTTCATTTAATCCCATATGTTATGTTATTCACTTTACGCGTTTCTCACTTTCCGCGGTACCCTGTGGGTTACATTAACCGCGTAAAGTGAGGGTTGACTGTATACTGCAAGTATTTTCTTTAATTTTTATACTTGTTTTGCGAAAAAGGGAGGCTACCATTATACCTGGTAGGTGAAGTTGACCAGACATTTATGGTGATCATTAAGGACCAAACTCCGAATCCATGACGTGACTTCTATTCATCATTTATACCCTAAATTTACTACTGTCGGTAGTTTCAAGAATTAACGCAGTCATTTACTGAATATTCTTTGTAAAAAAATAAATTTTAAATGAATTGTTTATAGGAGATAAGTATTATGATCAGTAAATATACAGATACTGTATGCATTACTGACCACCTCTGAACACAAGGACGGCTAAAAATAGCCACAGGTGGTCTTAGTCAAGGTCACTTTCCCTTTCTTGTCTCGTCACTGGCAAATGGGGGGGGGGGGGATGATGATAGCAGCTGTGTTTATTACCGGGGTATATTTTTCTTTTACAGTATGTTAGACAGATTTATAATACATTTTTATTATTTTAATATAACGGTAATCTTCATTTTAATCCAGCTTCCCAAACGTAAGTTTCAGTATAAAATAATTAGTGGTAGGACCTGTGAGTGGTTTGCTGTATACATAAATATTACATAAATTATTTCTGCAATTCTTCACAAACAAAACACATAACTCAATTGAACATGTGATGTCGAACGTGAACTGTAAACACTGCATAACCCCGCGCCAAGCCATAACAACATAACAACGTGGAATCGCGTTACAGCAAACGAGTTCGCGTTTTACAAATATTGTTCCTCAATTCATCAATTGCGTTAGAGCCAATTCGCGTTGTCAAAACACGCGTTATAGCAGAACTCACTGTACAGCAAAGAGTTAGGCCAGGGTGATTTACTTAAGGTTAGGGTGGCCACAGAAGAAGGCCAAAGTGATTTAAGGTTAGGGTGGCCATGGAAGGCCAGAAAGACTTATTTAAGGTTAGGGTGGCCATAGAAGAAGGCCAGGGTGACTTACTTAAGGTTAGGGTGGCCACGGAAGACACCGTAGCCTGTGTCCATATGACCATAGCCTTGCTTGGTGAGACCTACGAACCCACAGTCTATCAGCATCTGAAATCAATTGTTTGCTTATTATAAACACTTGTATATTAATAATTCATTGTTTTCTATTTCAATACAGGATTGTCATATTTTGCTGGTGTATAAGAGGCACCATAATTCAAAAGGAAATATTTAGAAACAATATTTTGGTGAATGTATAGGACAGGTATCCTTTTATATATGAAGGGGCTTAGTTCCTGGAAATCCATTTTAGTAAAAAAACAAGTATAGTACTGAATGTTAGAACCCTAGTACAGTACTGATGGGTTTTATGTTCCACGGAGGGGAAATATACATCAAACGGTGTTTTTTCACACAGTTCACAACTATATTAAAGAATATATATACAAGTACAGTATTACCCCGCTTAACGCGGTTTCGCTTAGCGCGTTTTACCGTATACGTGGTGCCTCGCCAGAGCCTAACTTTCACTTAACGCGGGTTTTTTCCACGTATACGCGGTGAGTGTCCGGCTGGAGAGCTATTTTTAGATTCGCCCCACCCGCCACCCTGCCTGACTGCCTGTTTTAGCTCATAAAATTCATACAAATTACCCGGCCAGAATATAATTTACATTGCTGAATTCTTACAATATGATGATCATTTTGAATATAAACATCATAGATTTTGCATAAGACATACAAATTTTAGATACAGTGACCCTCGCTTAATCTAACACCTCGGTTAACGTAATTTCGATTAACGAACTGCCTTCCATAAGGATCTTCAATTCGTTAACGAAAAAAAATTCGCTTAACGAACTTCTTACGAACCGACCTCAACATGTTTTCGCTTGCACTGACCGGGCAACCAGCTTTAGTATCAGTCCGCCAATACATTAATCGGTTCTAGGGCTTAAATTCCTTACTATTTTTGTAAATATCAAGAAGTTTATACTATTCAATAATTTTAAAAGTTTAATATTCAATTTTTTAGTCATTTTAACAATTATTGAACGAAATTGAAGGTAAAGTGACTAGTTTAATGCGCGGCATCCAGCCTCTTAACACAGCAAACAGGCGTCAGTCTCTCTCTGTTTTCACTGGAGGTAACATCTTGCTTGAGACTCTCTTCAACTAAATGCTTTTTTTCTGTGTTTCCAAGCAAATTATTGGTCATTTTGAAATATATTTTATATATTGACAATATATAATGCAGTGCAGCATTGATTTAAAGAAAATAATCTTGAATTAAACCAGAGAGCTAAAATTTTATGGGTGAAATGGCACCATGGGGTGACTTCTCTTCCACCCCAATGCCTTCTCTTCTTCCTTCTCCTCCACCCCCATTCTAAATCCCATCATCATCATCATCATCCAGGAGCCTTCTACATACACACCTCAAAGTAAGTGAACTTTTCTACCATTTTTGTTGAATTTAGGAAATTTTCGTGAGCTGGAACCAATTACCCAAAAACCCATTGAAACAATGGTTTCGGTTAACGAACGTTTCGGTTAACGAACGACCTTCTGGAACGGATTGAGTTCGTTAACCGAGGGGCCACTGTATATGTTTCTGAGTAAATATGTTATTTTTTGTGCAAAATATATGACATTTGTATTCAAAATATTCCTGGTCGTACAAGGAATCCAGCAATGTCAATTATATTATCCTAACTTTAGTTTGAGGTATTATTTAATACAAAATGTTAAATATTCTGGTTTTCCCACACATCTGGTAGGGAGGGTTGGTGGGGGGTGGGGGGGAGGAAGGGACCGACCGACCATCTGTTACTGTGTGAAGAATACTTTTTTTTTATTATTAACTGAAGATATTTGTTTTAGCTCATAAAATTCATACAAATTACCCGGCCAGAATATAATTTACATTGCTGGAATTCTTACAATTTGGTGATCATTTTGAATATAAACATCATAGATTTTGCATTAGACATACAAATTTTTGATATAATGTTTACTCTCAGTAAATATGTTATCTTTTGTGCAAAATATATGACATTTATATTCAAAATATTCCTGGTCTTACAAGGAATCCAGCAATGTCAATTGTATTATCCTAACTTTAGTTTGAGGTATTATTTATTAAAATTTAGTGGTTTCCCCCCCAAAATTTCTCAGAGAGGGAAGAGCGAGCAGTGTAGTGTGAGAAGAGGGGGAGGGAGTTGAGTCCATTATTTGAATGGACATTAACTTGGCGACTGTATTTCTCTATTTCTCTTAAGTATTAATTGTGTGCATGTACCATCATAAAATTAAGATGTTATTTTTACTAGAACATAGGTATTGTGTCGGAAAAAGTGGAGTTTGGGGATCGGGCCAGTTTCTATTGGAATTAATCCCATATGTTCTGTTGTTCACTTAGCGCGGTTTTCACTTAACACGGTACCCTGTGGGTTTTATTGACCGCGTTAAGCGGGGTACTACTGTACAGTAATCTCCCCATTAGCCAAGAATATTGCTAAAGCAGTGTTAAGAAATAAGAAGTTATTACAATTATGTATACTGTACTGTACATATAGTGTGAAAGTACCGTATACAGTATACAGTGCATGTACAAACCCCTCCTTGATGGGGATACAGGAGAGAAATTGATGCAAATTATCCAGTGAACAAAGTACTGGTCAAAAAACTAAGAGATATTTTACTATATTAGTGATTCAGTATGCTATAATTCTCAGACATAAGATCTTTGACAACAAGAAAACTTAATGCACATACAATTTAAGTGTAGTAATAGTACCTGATTCCTGTGTGGGTAGTGACCAATGACACGGGTGGCAACACAGCAGGCGATGTCCTCCTGGCTGCATGACCCAAGACTCCACTGCTGCACATCTGTTCTGGCATCACAGGGATAGTCATGATCTGGTTTTAGCTACTGCCCTACTGCTCAAACTCCAACATTTATCCAGATCACCTTATCATTCTGACTCGATGCTATTACAATAAAGTATCACTCAAATAATATTAGGACCAAGAGGCTTCCATAAAGTGGACACACAAACATATGTCCAAGGGAAGCATGTAGTAAACCCTAGTACTGGTGTCACTTTAGTTATATTATTAATTTCTGAAAATACCTGAACAGTAACTTTCTTCATTATTATTTAACACTCACAATGTTATTAAGTCGACTAATAGACTTTCAATGTGTCATCATTCTCCTACTGATCACCATAAACAGCACAGTAAATATAACTTTCTCAAACTCACATGAAGACAAGTACAGTACAGTAGACTCGTCACTCACACCACCACCACACAGTCACTGAGCCAGTTGCTTTGTTGACCAATTTCTCTTCTTTTAATCATGTAAAGTATACAGTAATATGTAGAAAATTAAATAGTTTTTCCTTTAATCCATAGTCTTTAGTTTTATATTCAAAATACTCAAATCTTTCGTAAAACAGATTATTTCACGAAGTAGATTTTCAGTTGACAGATACTTAACCATAGTACTTGTGTTGTAGTACATTTTTATTTTTATTTCATTTAAAAGTTCAAATTTCGTCGCAGCTCTCAAAATAAAGTACTCACCATATATTAGAAATTTATCCACAAAATATGTGAAGAAATATTCAGGTGATTTACACAATAAATTAAATCTGTTTATAAAGGCCCAGTCAAAAGAATCCCAGCCCAACCCTGACATTATGACAGCTTACCTAACTCCATTTTCTGGGACCTACATACACCTGATCTCCAGAGCTACAAACAATCAGCCAGTAGAGTAGAGCTGTATTAAGTCAGGACTCACCAAGGAAGGTATAATTGCCAGGATGTATCTCTGTTAGGTTCTTCATGTTATCACTTGGTTGTCTACAGGAGGGTGTGGATCCAGTACCCACTGTGGTACATGTCACACCTCGCTGCTTCAGGCGATCGACAAACTTCAGCAAACGCTCTGGAAGGTATGTTATCAGCAGAGTACTTGTCTTTGTGTTTTCTTTAATTAATTTCACGTGTATTACAGTGAACTTGGGTAAAATTAAAGAGAGTGCGTAATTATACAGGAGGACCTCACTTAATGGGGAAGATGTGCTCCTGGGGTACTCATACTAATTTCCTGGACTCGCTACATGATTTCAGACACAAGAGATTGTGCCTTTACAATCTAATGACAAGCCTCGGCACTATAAATTTGCACATTCCATGCTGAACTCAATTGATAAAGTCACTTTTCAGGTGTCTGGACGAGTTAACTGCTATAATGTGCAAATATGGTTAGCTGAAAAGTCACGGGGGTTTTGTGAACACATTCGTAATAGCCCAAAACTTAATGTTTGGTATGGACTCATGCACGACAGGGTGATAAGCTTAGTTTTCTTTGCTGAGCAGAATATCACAGTAGGTGTGTATCTTTGAAGAATTATAACCACTCAATATTTTCCTTGTGGGAGTATGTTAAGGGTTATTATGTTTTTCAGACCCCCATTGCTGACATTGAAACACCTGGTACAATAAAAGGATAACCCACAGCATCAAAAGAGTAATGAAGGTAGGTTGGCCAACATATGGACTGAAGTGGAGTACTGGTTGGATGTGTTACAGTCCACTAACAGCACACATGTTGAGGTGCACAGAAAAACATAAAAATTTTTATTTCTTCAGTAACAAGCAAAAAATTTACATAAATTCCCTCTTATAGTTTTTTTACAGTAATAACATTTGTGGTCACCCTGTTCTGTATAATGGCCATATCACCCATTGAACGTTATTTTGTCTTTATTCGTCATATTTGTTCTCACTGGAAATTTTATGAGGTCAAACCCACGTTCTACTGCCATGACACCAATGACTATTCATTTAAAACTTTAACTTTCACTTCTAAGGTAATTATGCTTTTTGCTTTTTCTCACACTCATTGATACTGTAACACATGTTAAATACTTTAGAACTGTAGTTTCACAAGAATGAGAAGCAGTTCAGTGAGAGCACACAAACTATACCCACTCAAAAACTAATGTGGCGTGTATGATGCATGTATAATGACTCTTAGAAGACTCACTCTATAGAGAACATTGTGACTGGATGCTCTCATATACCTGTACTGTAGCTTGTATGAACAAGAACAATGAGAGAACAGATAAGAATGCTTATGCTCATGTAACTTGAGTTACTGCTTGTTATTTCTATCTTGAAAAAGAGAAAATGCGGAATTGTTTTTAATTCTTGGTACAGAGTTATGCTAAGCAGTGTTCCCCTGTATACTGTATGTTAAGAAATTGGGATCACCTGAAGAATCTCCACCCGTGCTAATTTCAACCGAAGATTAACCACTAACATTGCAGTATTTGGGGGGAAAGGCAGATGTAGTAGGTTAGCTTTGCATTAGGGTGGTTACTGTTTAAGTAAAATAACTGGGGTGGTGATTCTTCAGGTGATCCAGAAATTGTGCTTCAACCAGTAACAATCCTCACCTAAAGTGTCTTCTTGGATCTGCAGGACTTCTTTGGGCTCACTGGCACCATAGGTATTGCCACAGTGGACATAGACACCAACAAAGGTGATATTAGGAGCGTTGTGGAGTTGTAATGCCATGTCCACCCCTGCTTCATCCTCCCACCACACTCCAGCTGAAATGGTAAAACTATATTGATTTGTCCACAACTGATCACTTCAAGGAGTTATACAACTGATCACTTCAAGGTGTTATGACTAAGTATATAAACATCACTTGGGCTGAAGCATATACTATAAATGCTAGGGGCCTGTGGTGCTTTCTGAGACTCATGTATCTACAGTAAGCTAGATATTATGCAAGGAAGGTGGCAAAATTAAACTTCAGTGTTGCTGTGAACGGTATCAAGTAAGTAGAAATAACTAAAAGCTACAGTAAGAAATATAAAATTAATCTTATAAAACTCCAATTCCATTTCAGTGACTACAACTTCAATAAGAACATAAGAACATAAGAATGGAGGAAACTGCAGCGGGCCTATTGGCCCATACTGGGCAGTCCCGTTTACACCCAACCCCTATTGCTCATATGAGCATCCAACCTATGTTTGAAGCAATTCAGCGTATTCGAGTTAATGATGATATTTGGTAACTTGTTCCATTCATCCACCACTCTGTTTCCAAACCAGTGTTTACCTATTTCACGCCTAAATCTAAATTTGTCCAATTTAAAACCATTGTTACGAGTTCGCTCCTGGTTGGATAATTTGAGTACCTTTGTAATGTCCCCTTTGTTTAGCCCTGTCTTCCACTTATACACCTCTATCAGGTCGCCCCTCGCTCTACGTCTCTCGAGGGAGTGCAAATTAAGATGCTTTAACCTGTCTCTATACTCAAGGTTCCTAATGCCCGGGATTAGTCTTGTCATTCTCCTCTGAATTCTTTCCAAGGATTCTATATCCATTCTGTAATATGGTGACCAGAACTGAACTGCATAATCCAGGTGTGGTCTCACAAGAGCAAGATACAGTTTTAGGATGACCTCGCTTTACTTGTAACTAACCCTCCTTTGTATGAACCCAAGTACTTTATTAGCCTTGTTACGAGCAAAAACACATTGTTTACTTGGCTTAAGGTTCCTACTTATCATTACTCCTAAATCTCTCTCGCAGTCGGATTTCTCTATGGCATCGTTGTTCATCTGGTATCTGGTTTCCCTGTTTACATTTTCTATACTGAGTACTTTACATTTGTCGATGTTGAATGTCATCTGCCATTTTTCAGACCATTCGAAAAATTTGTTTAGATCCTCCTGTAGTTTTGCCGAGTCCTCGTCAGATTTGATAACACGTCCTATTTTAGTATCATCAGCAAATTTACTTATGTTGCTGTCTATGCCGATATCTATGTCGTTTATGTATTTAATAAACAATAATGGTCCAAGTACTGAGCCTTGGGGAACTCCACTTGTGACGTTGCTCCAATGGGACTTAGTGCCGTTAATGCTCACTCGCTGTTTTCTGTCCTGTAACCACGCCCTAATCCATTTAAGGATGCCACCTTTGATGCCATGAGCTTCTACCTTTCTAATTAGTCTTTCGTGGGGGACTCTGTCGAAGGCTTTGCTAAAGTCGAGATATACCACATCATAATTGTGCCCCTCCTCCACTGATTCAAAAACTGATGAAAAGAATGTTAATAGATTAGTTAGGCAAGAACGTCCGCTTGTGAAGCCATGCTGGGAATCATTGATCAATCCGTGCTTCTCCAGGTGATTTCGAATAGAGTTTGAAATGATTGCTTCCAGTAATTTGCCTACTATTGATGTTAGACTGATTGGGCGGTAGTTAGAAGATAGTGATCTATCCCCCTTCTTGAAAATCGGTAT